TCGATCCACAATCCGCGCACACTGTTGAACCTCTTAGTCTAGCGACACGGACAACACTCACCAGCCAGGCAAAGGGGGGGGGGGGGGGGTGGTGGCGAACTTGTGCGTCAGAATAGGGGACTGAAAAAAAACAGCGGTTTTGAGCAGGAACAAAACCAAGCGACAGGTGGATTTGTTGTCTGCACCCCTCAAAAGTTCTCACCCAAAGTCCCCTAGAATGGAAAGCGCAGCAGGCAAAGAAGCGTACAAATAGCACCAACGTTCCCCCCGTTTTGTGGAAATGCATAGCGTGGACTTTTGTATACCCGGACTGTTCGACTCCCCCTACCCTACCCCTTGGTGACAGAGATAAGACACACACGCAACGGCACCGTGAAGCGTAGACAACCAAGAGCACCATCTTGGCCCCTGTGCCGTACCTGCTACCCCAGAGCCCACTCCCCGCCGCAACAACGTGTTAACAGAAGACAATCCTAACACTCGCCATGAACAACGTCACGAAAACAGCAACAACAACAACTACTACCGCGACAACAAACAGTGAGACCCGTCACTACACACCAACCAACTATACACGTGCTGCCTTCGCTACAAAAAACGACCAAGCGTCGCAAAATCACGGGCTCGCTCACCATGAACACCGGCGCCATGAGCCAATCGGCCGACTCCAGCACCAGCAGCCGGCCCGTGTCCGCCACCAGCACCCCCTTGTCGATCAAGAACTTGACGCGGCCCGGCGTCCCAATCGCAACGTGGCACCCCGCCGACAGCGTCTGGGCGTTCTCCGACACGGCGATGCCTCCCACGAGGGAGGCGATGGTCAGGTTGGGGACGCTGGTCTTCCCTAGGCGTAGGAGCGTGTCCTGTTTGTTGTTCCGTAAAATGTGAGAGGGGGAAGACGGGGGGAGCGAATTTTTAGACCACCGGATACAGACATTTAGTCTATGCACAGGTCTCGACCGATTCTTCGGACGAAGACTACCGTGAGTACTTCTGCTGCATGCCTCGCGTGTAACAGCCAGAAAGTGAGTGAACCGAAATGTTTTGCCGGCGAAAGAGGGTGGGCTCGGCGGCGCGAAAAAAACGAACACAAGCGTGACTTGCGATGCGCTATTTACGTGAGGGACGGAAACTTGGGCAACACTGCTGCGCGCCAGCGCACGCCCCTTATTCTTTACCCTATCGCCACGACTGCGGTGGCGTCGGGCTTTGAGATTCGCCGTATGAAAATAATTGTCGGCCCCCATGTTTTTTGAAACGTTGAAAAACTCATTTAGACCGTTAACAATTTTACTTGAAGTTCCTTAAGAGACTGGGGATCGAAGAAGGAAACACGCGAGGACAAGCGTCCCCGAAACAACAATATGGGAGCGGCCGCCTCGGCGTTTCGATTGGAAACCGCGTGAGTTACCTTTCGATTTCGAATGCCTGTGGGGTGACGAAACTCGAAACCCACGTAGATAAGATAGGAGGAAAAGGCGCGTAATTTATTTAGTAAAAAGAGTAAGTCTCGCGTCATAAAAGTAGCGGTAACTTTGAAGGCAACAAGCACCGCAGGGGGGCGGTGGACATGTAGAGAGGGAAAAACTCCAGTGCATATTTTCCCCATCCTATCTATCAAGTTCCTGTGTGATCCTGGCTGACTCCTCGAGTATACACGACGTGTAACAACCGAAAGGATGCATAGTTTAGACTCGCGCCCATAACATATCGGGCGAAAGCACACACAAAAACGCACTCTTTTTTCGTGCTACTACTGTACAGCAGTATAGCATACAACCTCCGCTCACGTTCGGAAAATGGGATGTAGGCCTCCAGAAAAAAATGTCGAAATACTCTTGAGCAGATACATGCGCAAAATCCTCGCCCGGCTCAAGGATCAAACTACTTGTAACCAATGCCAAAGCTCGTGCTGCCGGAAGCGTACACATGGTAAGGCGGGAATGCACGGTAATGATGCACGACCGCATTTTGCCGTGTGAAACGCAATTTATCGTATCCGCCAACACTAGTGTACAGATTTCACCGTTTACTCGCAGTTTTCAATTGTATGGATAATATAATGTTGATACCCCCGTAAAATTAAATACCTAACGGACATGGAAAGCTGCCATCCTCCGGGAGAGGTCATCGCACGAACAAACACACGTGCGTGTTTTATTCTTCTTGAGAAAGCTCGAAGGGTTCACCCGTTTTCCTTTCTCTCATCTTGCCCTCAACATGTACTCCAACGATAGTAGCACATGCACACCCATTGCAAAAACAATTTAATCGTGCACGGCATGCGTGCATGCATGTGCATATGTGCATGATGCGTGAACTTCGGAAAAACGCAGTGCGTGCTGGTGTGCGTCCCCCCGCCCTAAATGCCCCTGGTTGTGGTGGGCATGTGTTTTTGCATAAAATTCTGGAAGGTGGGCCCCAGCCACAGGACAGAACGACCGAACAAAACAACGGCCGGTCAGCACTGCTGCACAGGGGAGAGAAAAAGGGCGACGAGAAAAAAGAGGGGTGTTCGTGCACGAAATCTGTGCACACACGTGCCTGCCCACAGGGAAAAAAGTGGAGCTGATGTGGGAATATATCAAAGCGAGGAATGCGATGCGATTGATTTGGTTTGCTTGCTGCACCCACCCCCTTGGGGGTTGTATAAACACAGCAGCAGCAAAGTACCAAGTACATACCAGGGTGCTGTTGCCGCAGAATTGGGGGGGGGGGAAAGCCAGCCGCCCGTATGGGAGGGTGGGAGGCAAGCAGCGCGTGCATACGTCTAACAATAAGAAATCAATTGTAAGCACTGCTGTCGAAGTGGTGCGTGCATCGTGCAGAAGACTAGTTTGATTTGCACGAAACCCCGGAAACCGGAGGATGCCCATCATGCGTGTACCGGGGAAATGAGAGGCATGCTTCGTTTCAGCCAGTATCAATTGTTCGGCTCAAAAGGCTTGTTGTTCAATAATTTCGTTTGGCATCGCATCTACTTGTTTCCAACGTACCAGCAGCAGAAAAAATTTCTGAACCATGACACTATTGAATATCTTTCCCCATAGCTCTACAAGTCTACAAGGCCTGCCCTTTTAACGCTGCCTGCCTCAGGACACAGCTCAGGGAAGTTATGCCGCACCAGGAGAAACAAACAACAACACGCAAGCCTACCCTGTAAGCGCGAGCAGGGAGAGCAACACGAAAACCACCTCACAAGTCACAATCGACCCTGTGCTGCTACTCAGCGGCAATCGCAAACGGCCAGAGGCGGAGAATCGGAAACAATACCCCGCCGCCTCCGATGCTCTGTCGTGCGAGCGGTGCGGAGGTGCGCGCTTCAGCGCTCCCCTTTTTTTTTTCTTGGGGAGGAGATTGAAAAAAAAAAAGAAAGGCGTTGATCACCGCACAGGTAAATATACTTTTTCCTCTGGGAAGAAACAAAAAGGCACAACCGTCTCCTTGTTCTACTTGCTGCGAGGGAGGTACAGGCCTCGCGGGTGGCACCCATGAAACGGGGCTACAGCAAGCAGTACCGCGCCTGATGATGGTCGGGATTTACCCCCGGCACCCGCGAAGAAAAAGAAAAGGAATCGTGCGCTTGTTCGGGGTCCGACGACGTTTTGAGTACCCGGTAATGACAGCAGACAACACGCTGCCTTTTGTAGATAGAGAGAAGAAGCAGCAGCTTTTCGTACAGCAGATTGGCATATATGTGCGTCTGGTGCTTGTACGCTGGTTACATGATCAGGCGTTGGCGAGTTGTCGTTCTATGACTTTCTTCGCTCTGCTGCCTCGCTTCTTCGAGCAGCAGCAGCAGCAGCAGCAGCAGCAGCAGCAGCTGCGCACACCACCACGCAAGCCAAAAAAAAAAAAATCTACTTCTATCTCTGTTTTGTATGAACGCCGGATCAACCTCGGAATGTTGTTTGTTTCGTGAAAAATGTTTGATCTGTCTATCGTCTCTCACGCACCTTGACGCCGGCGGCCACCTCCCTGTTCTTGGTGAGCACCAGCGCGCACAGCTGCGGCTTGAGCAAGCCACCGCTGCCGCTGCTACCGTTGGCGGTGGAAAGGTCGCTTTCGCCATCCTTGACATTGCTATTGCCGTTGTTGTTGCTGGAAGTAGTCCGGAGCACGCTGCTGACGATCCTGTTGAGGCCGCTGAGGCCGCTGAACGAGCTGGTTCTCTTCCTCGCGTAGCGGGGCAGGGCAGCCTCGGCAGACGAGATCGCCGCCACGAGGCGGTCGAGAACCAGCACGGCCAGGGCGGTGGTGGTTTCAGGGCCCGATTTCGCCTTCGCCCGAGAACCAGAACGCCAAAGGGCACAACAAGGCAACAACACGCAGGGGGGCGGGTTTACAGCAAGCCATCAAGGCATATTTTTCCACTTTTTTCTTTGCGAAAAACAATCGCGAAAGGACGGCGGGCGGAGTAAGTTTTGGGACTACTTGATCTTAGAGCGAACGTCACCAATTGCCACGAAAGAAAGGTCAGGGAAAACATACCACACAGCTTACGCTCGAGCTCGACAACTGAGACACAAGGGGCGCGCGTGGGAGGCGATGACGCACAGGTACTACACTACAAGTCTCCGCCCTCTCTGCATGACGGATTTTTCCTATATCTCAACGGCCACAGCCTTCCCGTGGAGCAGGCATGAAAATTAGTGTGCCGCCTCTTTTGGTGGTGCGTCCCTTTACCCACCTCGATTAGCAGATCAGCACCGGCCCGTGCCTCAGACCACACCGAGGCCTGGAGAGGCGTCACTTGCACCTCTTCCGCCTCCAGCGATTTCTGCAACGCCGGCGGCAACGTCATCTGCGCAGAGCTGCGAGGCGCACACACGCACACACAGCACACAGCTTTCCCGAAGCAAGCAGCTTGTGAGTGTGTGCAGAGCCAGACAGGCCGAGAGAGAGAGAGAAAAATGGTATCCGCGGGTCTTTCTGGATGGCGGACGGCGACGGGGGGGGGTCGCCTAACTTTTTTCCGGGGTGGGGGGCCACGGCAGCAGGCCACAACCTCCACTCCACTGCTGCACTGCCGCCACGCCGGCAGCTGCTGCTGAGCCTTCGTCTACCTACCCACCAAGTACCCTGGGCGGTCTGATACGGGGCTAGATCTCGCGTCTCTCCTTGAGGGGTGGTTGCGTGGTGACCAATATGGCGCAGCACGAAGAAACAAGCGTGGGCAAGACCGAGGTTTGATGACCTGAGCAGCTACTTTTTTTTATTTGTATTCAAGTTCAAAAGTTTGAGTTAGCCCGCGCCCCCCGTTATTTCGAAAAGCGCACATGCAGCGCATGACCCGCATCATCACATGTGACAGCCGGCTGGCTGGGGTCCTGAAGCTTGTTCGTGCGCGCTGCTCTTTTGTTGAAGTACGGCGCGGGCAAGTACGCCTGGTGCCACCAGGACCATGCGATGTGCAGTAGTTACGGCTGTCATACGTTCATGCTGCGTTCCATGTTGTAGCTTCTTTTTTTTTTTTCTACGTTCCTACCGAGCTCCACCGATTGACCCGATCGATGGATACGACGAGTACAGCCGTAGTCTGACAGCAGTCTGACCAATCCCGACAGAAGCAGCAGCCCGTGTGTCTGTTGATACGCTAATCGCCTGCCCTATCTTTGCGCGTTTCATTTTACTCGTTGGATAGAAAAAAATTGGAGAGTCTCGCACATGTTGCACAACTGGCCGGACAACGCATTTGCTGCATGCAAGCAAAGCCCACACGAATATATATGCTACTTTCATCAACACCAGACCTGTGGCCACATCAGAAAGCTTGACAGCAGAGAAACAAGAAAGGGTAGAGCAGGGGGAGATGCGTATCTACGTAAATATCTACCCACGTTCCATGTATGTGACTACAACATACATGAAAGGATGACATCGAAAGAGGCGAAAAACCAATGATCTCATGAAGCTTGGTTAGACTATAATAGATCGAAGTGCTTAAACGCCACACCCGAGGCTTGTCGAGTGTTCAAAGCATAAGGCAATTCGCTGTATTAATTGCGTGACGACACGATGATACGTGAACGGGCGCAGGCTACGGCCCTTAGTCCACCATATCACGTACACAGGGTTCGAGAGTTAACCCCTGCTACAACAGCACTAGACGGTGTATTTCTACGGTTCCCAGCGTAATGATAGAACGGCCTCCTACATACGCACTCGCATCAGTTCACTGCGGCTGCAGTGGCTTTATCGGTCAGGTGTAGGCTGAACAGCAGTCCGTCCTTGGGGAGCATGGTTGTCTTTGCCTCGGCTGCGAACAGAAACAGCAGTCCCTTTTACCTCTTGCCCCCGATTCAAAAGATCTGATATTATTTTTCCAACGGCCGGCGTTGTTGTTATTGTTCTTAGATTTCTGTATTCTATTTACCCCCCCCGTCACAGAATCGAAGTATCTTTCCACCATGTAAATAGTTACACTATAGAGTCCATCTCTACAAGTAGTATCCGTGGATAACTTTCGTCCAGGATGAGATAAATCTCGATGGATTCAGAGTTCATACCTACCATACAGCCCCCCGCACCAGCCGTAGGCTCCCTACCACTTTTGAGCCACTTCGACCGAGTCGGCATGGGTCCCGCCTTCCCTCTGCGTGCGCGTTGTTTCTGCCTTTGAAGCAAACGAGCCAGGAATCAAGAGGCTGTCTCTGCTGTCCTGCTTGTTGTTTTGTCTGTCTTGGTTTTGCGTGTTTGCGTATGCATATGTACATACATACGCGTGCAACCTCGTTTTTTGTCGTGACAAAGTTCAAGTACAGATATTATTGTAGTGCCTGCATTCTAGTTTTGGCCGAGCCGGGTTCTTACGTAGTTCCTACGGCAGGGTTGTGGGTGCTAACTGCACACGTCATCAAAACCCCCGCATTACTACCGCTATTATAGTAGTAGTGAAGAGCGCGTCTCGACAGCAGAGACAATTCGCTGGAGTTGTTCCCTCGCCCTTGCGGAGAATGGGGCAGCCAGGATTTTGATGACCAACTTCCTTGCCCTTGCCGAGCCTCCCCCCAGCCGTGAGAACGTCCAAACCCTGCCCCCCGCCCCCCGCCCGCGAGGGGTACATACGCCAGCGCTGGGGAGCGCGCTCCAGTAGCTCGGTACAGCGAACTAGGGCTACCCACTTCCCACCAACCAAGCTTTGGGTGTGGATTATGGTTAGGGGTTAGCGGTTAGGGGTGGGTTAGGGTTATGGCCGTGGTGTAGCCTGAGGACTGGAAACCTGCTATTTAGATGGTTGCTTTGGTTTCTTGCCTACTCCAACGACGACCCAAAAACTGTTGGACTGGCGAGTGTGTTGTAAGCACGGCGCTAGCGCTGGCGTATATTCGGGGATCCCCCCCCCCCGGAGGGCCATAAATGCAATGAAATCATTTCGTTTAGCTTTTTCAAGACAACCCTCGGTGCGGTCTCTCCGACCGGTGCGATGCTCAATGAAATATACACACGGGCCTACGGTGCTCGGCAGGTGTTGTGTGTGCACACCCCGGTGCCATCTCCCCGACCGGTGCCATATCTCCGCCTCTGAGTAATGGATGCTAATGTTACGTACCTACATGCAGACAGTGGGCGGTGAAGGTGCCGTTGTTGCTGTGGCTGGGAACACACCGGTAACCGCAACCGTAGGCTACTACGTACAAGCTTTCCATGAAGCAAGTGGTCATAGGTTTGAATGCGATTTTGGCTATGGCGTGACAAGGACAACAACTATTTAGGTGATGTGGGTTGCATCTGGGGAACCGGTACGTACGGACGGTGTCGTCAGGTTGTCTCCCGCTTTCGTTTCCGTCTTCCTCTGCGAATACAGTACGAACGCAGCAGTGCATTAGATACCGTTGTTGGGGGCTTGTATGTTGGGGGCTTGGTTGAGTGGACGGTTGGCAACTTTCACACCACCAACTAAATGAAAACAACTGGCATCCCGCGTGAACCGCGACCGTACATGCATACCATGAAGGAGCGGCGCTCCGCTGACACTGCTGTCCCCACATGTAAAAGGTACAGCAGTACCCACATGCACCTCTTTCCGGCAGCTCATAAAGAGTTCAATCTTGGATTTGGGGGTCGGCGAGGTCGCACCCGATGCGATCTCACCGACCCCGGGGCGGAAATCGATCTTCGTCACGCCGTCCTTGTTGCTTTTTGCGCACCCCGGTGCCATTCCCCCGACAGGTGCCATCTCTCCGCCCGTTACGGTATGCTACGCTACTGTAGATTTTAGGGTGGAGGTTACAAACGGTGCTCCCCAAGTCCAGATTTTGAGTGTTTCGAAGGCTTTATCAATTCCTTAACTGCCAAGATGTCAAGCGCGGACGCTAAACTGTGGTGAACATCACCATCCCCCGCATTACCGCTAGCGACGAGCGCGTCTCAACAGCAGTGACGATTCGCTGGAGTTGCTCCCCTTGCCGTGCGGAGAAAGCTTCCAGATTTTTTATGTCACTTTGCCTTTGCCAACCCCCCCCCCAGCCGTGAGAACCCCCTCCATGGAAACCCTTGCCCCCCCCCCCAAAGGGCCAGGATATATGTCCACAAAGGCTAGGCACCCTTTTCGCTATAGATCGAAAGGACAACGCATGCATGTCTGCATGCACGGCTTCTTGTCAGCAGGGACGGGACACAGCTGGGAAAACTAAACGTCCATCCGCAAACGACCCACACACGTAATCCGGATGCACGACATACGGGATTGGCAGCTGGCTGCCAATGGGTATTCACGCACCTGCTCCACGGTGTGCTTAGTTCAGTTTGCAGTAGGGATTACGTACGGCCTACATGTAGACGACCATTCCGGCTCTCCGGAACGTGTTTTGTTCCCGGGATATACTGGGGCCAAGTGCTTGGACTGCGATTCAACGTACCCCCCCTCGGACGCGCCCAACCGCCATGAAAAAAAAGCGGTGTAACCTAGAACGCGTCATCACTGATGGCTACATTCATGCATGAACATGGGATAATTTATGGAGTTGCCCGCCACATCTGTCTGCTGCTGCTGCTGCTGCTGCTGCTACACATTGCGACGAACGATTTGCGCCGCCTGCTGACTCGACAGGACGAGGGGTGGTTAACGGCCTTCGAGGGAGCCCTCTTCGACGATCGGGACGGGGACGACGAGAAGAGAAAGGAAGAACGCCTCCGGGAAGCGACGGCCTTCGCCGCCAGGCGTCGCGAGATGGGGTGGAGGCTTGCCCACGACGAGCTCTACAACGTGAGAGGGGGGGATGGAGGGACGGAGGGAGGCTTAAGAGCCTATGGCGTTCTCGCTTGAGAATAAGAGAAATGACTGCTGCTGCTGCTGCTGCTGCTGTCGTCGTTCGTCTGAATGCACCCTAACATGCGTAGTTGTTGTTGTCGCCTCTATGCCTGCATGCTGCTGTCGTCCATCGTTCCTCTGGATGCATTCGAACAAACGAAGTTGTTGTAATCGCTT